TAAATCAATCTGAGGCAAGCAGAGGGCAGCAGTAGCCCAGCTGTATCTGGCCATTAACCGAGTGGCAAGCGTCGACCATTGATGCCCCACAAAGGGAGGAGAACCGCAGCGGCTTAGGCTTTTGCTTGCACAGTCAGCCTTTTCCGAATGCATAATGCAGCAAAGGGGAAAGGGGTAAACCAGAAGGAGCAGGAGGAGCAGGAGGATCGCAAGAAGGATTTCCATGTATGTGGTGCACCGTGCACGCACCATTTAGTGCGGCAGTGCGAGGGAAGCCGAATCGGCTTACAGGAACAGGAACAGGAACAGGAACAGGGTAGCCAGGGAGATGGGACAGGGTAGCCGCCGGCATTAGAAACTTTACTCATTACGGTGCCAGCCGCAGTCGCCAGACCGCAGCCAGCAAAGGAGCAGGAATTGAAAGCAGAAAGAAAGAAAGAAGGAAAAAAGAAAAGAGGAGCAGAGTCCGTAACCGGGGCGGAGTGTGAGAAAAGCAACGCTAAAAGTGAAAAACTATGTTGGAAGACGGCAGGGAAATGCAGCGCAGGGCAGGGACAGGCAGGGACAGGGATCCGGTGATGGCAGCAGGAGGTGGAGCGTGCGTCTCTCTAACAAAAAGTGAGCGAAAGCCGCTGAAAGACCCCTTCCCCCCACAGCAGCAGCACACTGAAATCCGCCTAAGTTGTGGGTAATGCTGGCGTAAAACAAAAGCTTATCCTGTTACTGCCACCGCTGTTGCTGCACCTCCTCATCCTCCACCTTCTCCTTCTGCTGCTGCTGCTGGCGAAAAAGGCTAACCACGGAAATACATTGCCATACGCCGCACAGCATGTGGCCGAGCCAAAGAGCGGGATGGGGCAGACCAAAACCAACAAAAACTTTTGAGCCGACACCAAGTCACCGAGTGGAGACTAAAGGTATACCCTGACTGACGTTCCCGAGTGAAATCTGCAAGAGAAGGAACATCAGCGAAGCGCTTAGAAATTCCATACGGAAGGGGGACACAAAATATAAAATAAATAACAGAATTTATGTATGAAGTGTTAGGAAATCTACAACTACATCTACAGATGCTTGGGGATCCAAATTAGCTTGTCCCCATGATTTTCCTGAGATCTTCATAGGATTATGCACATACCTCACATACCCTACCTTCCGCACACACACACACAAAAGAAAAAGAAAAGCAAAAAGAGCAACCACAACGGGAGCAGTGGGAAAATATGTACTCGGGTCCTGGCCTGGCCTGTCCTGGCAGTGGCCCAGCGCCAGTGGCTACCAACTACGAGAAGCACTACCAAAACTCACCCACGCAGCAGTGCCGTGCCACTGATAATGGCAGACTTTTGGCAAGGCAAGGCACTGCTTGTGGTGCAACAGGGTGTATTATGGTCGTTAAGTTATTACCTAGAACGTCGCCTCCGTCGTCGTCGTCGTCGCCATCGTCACCCCGCACAATGCCAAAGTTTACACAGGCGAAAGTTTCGCGAGGATTCAGGGCATTCCTTGAACAGGCCACGCTGCTGGCAGACAGAGAATGTGAGGCATGAATTGTTGTTAATGCTGCGCCACATCACCACTCCACTCCCCTAGCGCCCACCCTCCCTTTTGCAACCAGTCAGAGTTTGAGAGCGCGGCGCGGATTTTCCTTTGGCGTGCATAAAAAGTGCACTAAGATTTCTAGGTGGGGGGAAGGAGGACGAGGACTGCCCGAAGGACACACAGAATGACATCTAGGCGAAGAAAGGGAAATAAACTGGCTGCCATTTTTATTAGACAACGCGGCCATTTTTAACGACTCCTCGGAGGCGTCGCTGACGCCGGCATTATGGTAATTAAAATGTGGAAATTCCTTGAAAATATCTTGATTGTTTCTTCGCTTTGTGTCTCGAGGAATATCTGCACCAGGAATCTCAAAACTTTAGACCCAAGATTGTCGTTTCTTGTTCCAAATTAATTTGCTCTTTGTGGAGAATAATGATTAGAATTCTCTGTAAAATCCTTTCTGCTGGAATAATTATATTTACATATGTGTTTGTGTGCTTGTATTGTGTGTGTGTGTGTGTGCAAAGCAAGCAGTGGATCATTCTGTACGAATGGGTTAGAGCGGGACAACTATTGTATACAGTATACAGTAATCAGCTGGTTTCTCTCTCTCTCAGCGCAAGGAATATGATTAAAAGCTTCCCAACACTTTCTTTGCAGAAACAATGTGGATCTGGCGCCTGGAGATCGTTACGTGCGCATTGCCTTTGCGGAGGCGGCCAAGGAGATCGACCTGGCCATCAACAACACTTTGGACACACTCTTCTCGAACCGCTCGTCGAGGGCCACGGGGCCACCGAACTATGGAGAGCTGCTACGGGTGTTCCGCTTCCCCACGGGCGAGGCCAGGCAACTGGCGCGTGCCGCCGAGATCTACGAGCGCACGCTGGTCAACATCCGGAAGCACGTGCAGCGGGGGGACAACCTGAGCATGAGCAGCGAGGAGTACGAGTTCCGGGATCTGCTCTCCAGGGAGCATCTGCATCTGGTGGCGGAGCTGTCCGGGTGCATGGAGCACCGTGAGATGCCCAACTGCACGGACATGTGCTACCACTCGCGCTACCGCAGCATCGATGGCACGTGCAACAATCTGATGCATCCGACATGGGGCGCCTCCCTGACGGCCTTCCGCCGCCTGGCGCCACCCATCTACGAGAACGGATTCAGCATGCCCGTGGGCTGGACAAAGGGCCAGCTGTATGCCGGCCATCCGAAGCCCAGTGCCAGGCTGGTGTCCACCTCGATTGTGGCCACCAAGGAGATCACGCCCGACAGCAGGATCACCCACATGGTGATGCAGTGGGGCCAGTTCCTCGACCACGATCTGGATCACGCCATACCCTCGGTGAGCTCCGAGAGCTGGGACGGCATCGACTGCAAGAAGAGCTGCGAAATGGCACCGCCCTGCTACCCCATCGAGGTGCCGCCGAACGATCCGCGGGTGAAGAACCGCCGCTGCATCGATGTGGTGCGCTCCAGCGCCATCTGCGGCTCGGGCATGACCTCGCTCTTCTTCGACAGCGTCCAGCACCGCGAGCAGATCAACCAGCTGACCTCCTACATCGACGCCTCGCAAGTGTACGGCTACAGCACGCCCTTCGCCCAGGAGCTGCGCAATTTGACCGCCGACGAGGGCCTCCTCCGCGTGGGCGTGCACTTCCCCAAGCAGAAGAACATGCTGCCCTTTGCCGCCCCGCAGGACGGCATGGACTGCCGGCGCAATCTCGACGAGAACACCATGAGCTGCTTTGTCTCCGGCGACATACGGGTGAACGAGCAGGTGGGCCTCCTGGCCATGCACACCATCTGGATGCGGGAGCACAATCGGCTGGCCAGCAAGCTGCGCGAGATCAATCCCCACTGGGACGGCGACACGCTCTACCAGGAGGCACGCAAGATCGTCGGCGCCCAGATGCAGCACATCACCTTCAAGCAGTGGCTGCCCCTGATCATCGGTGAGAGTGGCATGCAGCTGCTCGGCGAGTACAAGGGCTACAATCCGCAGCTGAATCCGAGCATTGCCAATGAGTTTGCGACGGCTGCCCTGCGCTTCGGCCACACCATCATCAATCCGATTCTGCACCGCCTGAACGAGACCTTCCAGCCCATTCCGCAGGGCCATCTGCTGCTCCACAAGGCTTTCTTTGCGCCCTGGCGACTGGCCTACGAGGGCGGAGTGGATCCCCTGCTGAGAGGCATGCTGGCAGTGCCGGCAAAGCTGAAGACACCCGACCAGAACCTCAACACGGAGCTCACGGAGAAGCTGTTCCAGGCCACGCATGCGGTGGCCCTCGACCTGGCCGCCATCAACATTCAGCGGGGTCGTGATCACGGCATTCCCGGCTACAATGTCTACCGGAAGCTCTGCAATCTGAGCGTGGCCCAGGACTTTGAGGATATGTCGGACATTAGCGATGCGGCAATCCGGCAGAAGATGAAGGAGCTGTATGGCCATCCGGACAACGTGGACGTGTGGCTGGGCGGCATTCTGGAGGATCAGGTGGAGGGCGCCAAGGTGGGTCCGCTCTTCCAGTGTCTGCTCGTCGAGCAGTTCCGTCGCCTGCGCGACGGCGATCGTCTGTACTACGAGAATCCGGGCGTGTTCCTGCCCGAGCAGCTCGTCCAGATCAAGCAGGCCAACTTCGGACGCGTCCTCTGCGATGTGGGTGACAATTTCGACCAGGTCACCGAGAACGTGTTCATCCTGGCCAAGCACCAGGGCGGCTACAAGAAGTGCGAGGACATACCCGGCATCAACCTGTATCTGTGGCAGGATTGCGGCAACTGCAACAGCATGCCCGCCATCTTCGACTCCTTCATTCCCCAGACGTACACCAAGAGGAGCGGTCGCCAAAGGAGAGACCTTCGACAGCCCAAGGATAGGAAGGAGGAGGAGGAGGAGCAGGTCCCAGCTCCAGTCCCCGAGAGCTACGACAGTCCCTTGGAGGCCCTCTACGATGTGAACGAGGAGCGTGTCAGTGGCCTGGAGGAGCTGATTGGCAGCTTCCAGAAGGAGCTGAAGAAACTGCACAAGAAGCTGCGCAAACTCGAGGACTCTTGCAATGCCGTGGATGCCGAGCCAGTGGCTCAGGTGATGCAGCTCGTACCAGCCCCGGTCCCCGTTGCCTCGAAGCCCAGGCGCAGCCACTGCGTGGATGACAAGGGGACAACGCGGCTGAACAACGAGGTCTGGTCGCCGGATGTGTGCACCAAGTGCAACTGTTTCCACGGCCAGGTGAACTGCCTGCGTGAAAGGTGTGGCGAGGTGAGCTGCCCTCCAGGAGTCGATCCGCTGACACCGCCAGAGGCCTGTTGCCCGCACTGCCCGATGCCCGTCAAATGAGAGCTGCCGTAGAATATGCATATCGACGTATATCGACGTTTATCCGTAGTAGCCACAATAAAATCCACAATCCACAATCTACAATCTACACTCTAACCAAACATCGCGCACAGAAGAGCAAAGAGCAAATTTAATTGAAAATTAACTAACAAATGAAATGTAACTGTACTGCTACACATGTAATAAAATAAAGCACATTAATATCCCATTAATCCTTAGTCTTTACGTACTTCATGTGCGAGCCCTTGGCTATCAGCGTGTTATCCTTCTTGTGGCGCAGCGTGCAATCGATGAAGGCCAGGTACTTGCCAATCTTGCAGATATTCGCCTCGATTAGCACCTCGTCGCCCAGGCCAGCCCCGTTCAGATAATTCACATTAATGTCCACGGAGACGCCCGGATGGCAGGGCTTGGACATGAGGGCATATGTGGTTATCATGTCCACCAGGGTGACAATGTAACCGCCATGCAGACCGTCGAAGGGGTTCACGTGTTCGGAGTCCACTTTAAGTTCCGCTTGACAGGTGCCATCACCGCCTCCGATGATCTTCACCTAAACACAAAAATGCCTCGATTAATTATGAAACAATTTTGCTATGGCAATTCTAACCTTTTTCAAGTGACTCTCAAATCCCGTGGATTTGGCAATGATCTCGGAAATATGTTTGGCAAATTCCAGACCCTTCTTGCGGGTGCCCATGACTGTGTTGTACGGCTGTTCTTCAAATGACAATCGGAGAGCGTCCAAATGGATTCGAGCGCTGCCAAATGTTTTTGCGTTGATCGCCAATGAGAAAGTGAACAGATAGTAGGGTGTGTGGTATCGATGGGGTCCCAGATTGGGACTTTATCTTATTGTTTTGGAGGCACTTGATCCTCAAGTACAGCCCTAGACAATGATACCCACTGAGCTGCAGTCGTCACCCTACCTACCAATATCGCCCAGGTAATGTGAATTGACTTACTTTGATTCGATGTGATGTTACTGTTACTCGTCGAGTGCAGTTTTCCGTTTTGAGGTTGCAGCAAATAACAAGCGATAAGCCACTACACGGGAAATAAATGCCAACACGTCGCTATGTGACCCAAAGAACATTATATATTAAAAACAGCACGAACTGCAACGCAAATCAAATAAATAACTGCATGGAACAATGTCAGAAGGAATTTTGGCAAAACAGCTGCTGACCTATCGATAGGCCAAATCACTAACAACGGAGTTATCGGTACGTTGCCAAATGTTTTTATTCAAATTTCGTATACATTGGACTTTTGTTTGCGATCTAAAAATCAAATTTAAAATCAATGTACTTGACTTGCCGCCCGGTGGCGATAATGCTTTTATCCGTTTTGCGCATGAGGAATATATCCAAGTAAGCCATTTTGCGACCTGCACGCACAGTTCTGGCATCTATTTCAATAACCTCTCCTAGCTTTGCGGCCGACAGGTAGCTGACATTCAGATTGGCTGTAACGCCCGGATGTTTTCCTCTCGACATCATCGCGTAGGTGCTAATGTTGTCCACAATAGTGGCTGTCAGGCCGCCATGCAAGGTCCCCTCGTGGTTCAGGTGCTCCTTTTCCACAGTAAACTCCCCAAAAGCTCGTCCTTCACCACCGCCTGTGATTTTAATCTGCAAAATTGCATGTCCTCGGTTTTACATTTTCATGTGCGTCTTGGCATTTTCCATTGAATTTCTCACCATTTTAAGAACGCGATCAAAGCCTCCCTTGCTGGGTGCATACTCTGCTATGTTCAAGATGATATCCAGACCACGTTTGCCCGCCATTGTATCAGTGGAGCTAGCTGTTCCTCGCGCACCGAAAACCGAAACCGAAATGACAACAGTTACTGAATCGAGCGTCGCCGACAGCGGTCGTACTGATAAAAATGCAATTTAGGAGTAGGTGATGTGACTGGGCGTTTTATTCGTATTTGTTTTGCTCTACCTGTACGCCCCTGCGGTGTTTCACACCTGAGAATTTGTACAGGCACGCCGGATACCCTGCATAGGCTCAGTCGTACATCTCATCTTCATTTGCCACATATATTCAAAACCCAAATAAATAACTGCATTTAATGTCATTTACAAAGCAGCTGTGGGCCTATCGATAGGCCAATCGAATCATCGGTACGTTGCCAAATGGTTTTATTCAAACTGTGTATGCATCCTTTTCCTTGTCGAAATCAACGTACTTGACTTGACCCCCGCTGGCGAGAATTCTTCCATCTGATTTCCGCCTCAACACGCAGTCCAAGTAAGCCATTTTGCGGCCTGCACGCAATGTTCTAGCATCTATTTCGACGACCTCTCCTGGCTTTGCGGCCGACATGTAACTCACATTTAGAGTGGCCGTAACACCCGGATGTGATCCCGTGGACATCAGCGCGTAGGTGGTAACGTTGTCCACAATGGTCGCTGTCAGGCCGCCATGCAAGGTCCCCTGCCGGTTCAGGTGCTCCTTTTCCACAGTAAACTCCCCAATAGCTCGTCCTTCGCCGCCGCCAGTAATTTTAATCTGCAAAATTTCAAATGCGCGGTCAACTATCGATATGCTAGCAGAGTTATGTAATCGGCAGCTCCAGCTGTTTTGCCATTTTCTGTGCGTCGTTTTTAATAATTCGCTGGAATTATTGGACTTTTTTCTTGAATTTCTCACCATTTTAAGAACGCGATCGAAGCCTCCCTTGCTGGCAACGTACTCTGCCACATGCTTGACGAAATCCACACCACGTTTGCCCGACATTGTACCAGTGGAGGAGGAAGTGGAGCTTCCTATTCCGTTCGCACCAAAAACCGAAATGACAAAACTTACTGAATCGAGCGTTGCTGATGAAACTGGTGAGTGTGTATGGGTGGCCGTAGTGATACACATGCCATATTACGATTGCGTGATGTGTCTCGGCGGTTTATTCGCGTTTGTTTTGCTCGCTCTGTACGCCTGAAAATCTTTACAGGTACGTCGGATACCCTGCGATTCCGTCAACTGATTAAAGGAGACGTCAAGCAGGACTCTCTCCGGGAGTTCGTGTCCTACACAGCCGATGGGGACCACATCACCCTGGTGGGCGCCAAGTCGGATGTCATCACGCTGGAGATGACCAGCAAGGCCAGCTGTCATGTGCCTTTTCCCTTTGTCATCAGCTGCCTGGAATCGCCCGTAAATGAGCGTCCACTGGATATTTTGCTGTCAGGGATCAATCTTGTGGACATCTATGAAAACTGTCATGTGCTGGAGGCCCAAGAGTTCTCCCTAGAGCCGATTTATTTGACCGTTTGTTCTACTGAAGCGCCAGAGTCCCGACTGGTGGCCTCCCAATGGTCGCCACAGGTGCTGACCAATGGACAAATGCTATTGGCCGTCTTGAACACCTATGGAGCCATAACACTGCTGTGCAAGCCCGCGGAGCACTCTCGCTGGAGTCGACTGGACGGCCTGAATGTGGCCACAACATTGCGGGACACTCTGCTGCCTGAAACGAATGTTTCCAAGATACAGAGCTTCAAGCAGTTTAAGGCTTACATAGATCGCGCCTGGATCACGATGTTCACATGGCGTCCAGCTGCGGAGCCCAGTTCCGGACATTTCCTCGTCTTTGGCACAGCCAACGGCGCCTTGTGGACTTTTACTTTGAGTGCTGATGCCCGAACCTTGCTGCAACATCGCGTGCTGGCCACCTCTCTGAGCCGCATTTGCTATATGCTTGCTTTTGAGGATCTGCTGCTGGTGGGAGACGTGACTGGCGTTGTCCATCTCTACAGATTTAACAATGAGGAAGAATCCGGACTGTCGTTTATACGGCCAGTGTGGGAGAAAGCGGATCGTATGGGGCTTCAGAAGGCGATAATCACGCGATGCACGGAGCGAGAGTGTTACTATATATCCATCTGCAAGGCGGCAAATCTGCTAATTTGGTGCGTTCCCTGGCAAGAAGGCAGCGAGTGGCTGGAGACGCGCATCTATGTTGGAGGCATGAAGATCACCGGGCTCTGTATGTTGGACAGCAGCAGCTTCGCCGTGGCCACGGCCACAAGTAAGCTATACCGAATGCACGTTGCCCAAGAGGACAAGAAGCTCAATGCGTCCATGCAGTCGATAGCTATAGACGACTGTGAAGACTACCAGATGATCGGGCTGTTCAGCAGCAGACAGAGGAACCTTCTCACAGTGCTCTTCCAGCCCAACAAGGAGTATGCGGTCAACATCTACGCAATCTCACTACGCAACCAGCTCACGTTGCGCGTGGGCAAGATCCACAACGAGGATATACTGACCCAGCTGGCAGACACCTTCCAACACGACACGCCCATCAATCAGAGTACGGATTTGCTAGCCGAGCTGCGCCTGGAGATCTTTGCCAGCAGTAAGAACTTGCAGAAATACGCCGATTTCAATCGATTGGCAGCATTCAAGTTTGACAAGGACCCCACAGAATTGCAACAGCATCAGCTCCAACTGAAGTACCACATCCTGACGACTGTTCTCCACCTGCGATCGAATCTCCTGTGGCTCACGCTGCACAGGGAGGAATCGCAGAAGGAAATGCAGCTGCTTCTGGCAATGCTGGCCATGACACACATGAGACTGAGACTGAAGTACCTGTGCTCTCTGAGGGAACTGACTCCGTTTCAGACGGAGGCCGCGCAGTGCATGTTTGCGGAGGCGCAACGCTTGAGGAATCTGCTGAGGGAAGACTCGCACGAGGGCCAAAACTCCGCCCACTCGCAGGACTCACCCGAGATGCAAGACTCGCGCGACAGGCACTGCTTCCAAGAGGCGTTTGTTCAACAAATGACCATTAACTTTGATGCTTTGCAAGTTAAGCTGAGACTGGGAAAAGATGTGATGGCAACACCCGAAGAAGAGCAACCAAAGCATCGATGTTGGGTGTCCTATCTGGAGGTGGGTTTTGTAAACCGCAACCGGTCACTGGAATTGCCTTATTAATTCCCATTTGTTCTACAGCTTCCGTTCAGCCTGGACCGACGCTACTGCAGCCACTGCAATCGTACTATTTTGATGGATCAGGAGAAGCTACTGGAGCTGTATGAGCCAGGCTCCACCCTGCTGTGTCCCTGCTGTCACGGTAGCTATGCAGTGGATCTCGTAACTGCGTAAACATAAAATTTATTAAGTAATTCCATTAAGTGGCTGGGGCGCGCGTGTGTGTGTCCGTCTCTGGCAGCGAAGGCGGGCTCCGCTCTGGCTTTGCTCCACTGACAGATGCCGACACACACACCCACACGCCTGGGAATTTGTCGTGTCTGTGTGTGTATAAGCTTTGGTTAGGTTAATACAGTGAAACATAAATAATAGGACTGGTTTCGAGCAACAGAATGTCCTGCTCCACCTGCCGCAAATCAGTCTCTAGCTTGCCCTTGCGCTGAACCTTGGCCACGCTGTCGATGAGCAGCGACATGGACTGATACTGCTTGGTCATCTCGCTGAGACTCTGACGCAGTCCCTCGATGATTTCGTTGCGCTCTTTTTGATCCATTACCCGCATGCCAGGCACTTCCGGTGGAGCCCGAGCAGCGCCTTCGCTGGCGATGGTGGGGGCTTTCGTGAATCCCTTGACGCCGCGACAGAGCTCCATCAGGCGTGCCTGCTCTTTGGCACAGATTGCATTCATCTCGGTCAGCAGTCTCTTGGTCTTCTTCAGGTAAATGGGCACCTTGCCAAAGTCCTTGCGACAGATGAATTGTGGCAACAGGCCAGAGTTCAGCAGATTGTGTCGCGTGCCCACCGGCGTGTCAATGTACCGCGGCGGCGGTGGACATGGCACTGTCCGTTTGGCGCATTGGATATTCCGCCGTATGAAATTCGGCACCATTATCGGCTCCTGGCGCTTGCTACCGATGCCTGGCAACGGCGGCATTTTCTCACCCTTGGGACAGACATGAGTGTTCTCGCGCCGCCATTTGACGCCCTGGTTCTTGCGAAGATAGGCGCACGGCGGATCAATGGGTGTGTGGGCGCAGCCCATGGTGCGATGATGGGCCTTCTTGGCATCCGTAAGCAGTAGCATGCCATCGTTCTGCAAAATTACCGAATGCTTCTTATCCTCGACATCCAAGCGGTCGCGCAAGGACTTGGCAAACCGTGCTCCCTTTATGGCAGTAGCTGCATTGCATTTAAATAAATCAAAAATTAAGGCGAGGGGTGTTGGGTGCTTTATCTATATATATATATATATATATATATATCTTACCGGTATTGTAAACCCTGGAGGGCTTGCTGACCGCCTGGTTAATAAACTCTTGCTCACAATCAAAGATGTTCTCATCGTGGTGCGTGATATAGACGAGCGACATGGTTAACAAAATATATTATGCCTATAAAAATGTGAAACTTTAAAAGCCACTGACAGAGTTTTAGTATTGCTTGCTTTTCAATTCAATTCCGTTCCTGTTGCCAAGTGCTTTTTCCAGGTAGACTTTGTTTTCCAACCAAACACAATTGTTCGTTGCGTTGCTATAGTATTCCATTCTAGAATTCTACCAAAGATAGTACTTCCTGTATTTTGGTGATCCATTGCCCAGGGAAACAGTATTCGTAGAAATCTATATATATATTTTCGTTTAAAGCACAATATCAAGCTGCAGCTTGTGTCGCATGGGTTGTGTATAATTTGTTACCATATAAAATTCGTGTATTTATAAATATGTTTGCTGGTGTGTATAAAAAATGTTTTGCATTGCATTGTAAAAATTAGCACTAAAAATCGCTTGTCATATTTGCATTTTGATTCAGACGCCTATCGACCTATATCTACTATATGTATTGTGGAAGTGTTGGAAGCACGATTGAATTTGCGAAACGAACAACAGACTGCGACAATTACAGATTCAAGGAAGCACACAAAGAGAGAGAGACGAGACAGATAAAAAGCACTAGGTCTAGGCCTTATCTAGGTGATAAGCGTGGTTATCACTAGATACTCGCTGATCGTTTCGCATAGTTGAAGGGTGTATAATATGGGTGTAAATTTCGAGATGATATCAAATGCAAAGGCCACATGGTGTTTGCACTGTTGTGGACCAGCATTTTGAATGGGTGCGCGGGTGCTAGCTGGCCACTGGTTTAGGCACTACAGTAGTTAGGATCCGCAACGTGGTCCTTGGATATTGCACGCAGTCATGTGGGGCGACGGTGTCCCAATCATTTGCTCTCGTTGCTGTCCTTGTTGCGCTCCTCGCGTATCCGCTTGAAGGCCTCTGTCTTGACAAAGTCCACGGAATTGTAGACGACGCTGCTCGGCACAGGAGCCCGAGCTCCACCGGCATCCACCGCTGCCAGACGAATGCCACCGCCTGCATTGCCACCCTGGGAATAAAGATTGCCCACGCTCATGCTCGATCGATTGAGCAGGGGCGGTTTGTTGGTCACATCCAGATCAAAATACTGAAGCTTGTGCTCGACGTGGGCCGGCGGCTGTTGTTTCGGCCCTGCGCCTGAGGAGGTCATCATGGCAGCCACTGCCGAGGCTGTGCGCTGATGCTGCACTGAGAGGCTGCCAGGACTGTTGGGATGCGGGCGATGTTGCTGGCGTGGCAGAGTGCGCGTCTCGTGGAAGTATGCAGCCACCGCCGACGAGTGAACATCGGTTTCGTGCGGCAGCACCATCGAGAGTGGTGCTCCGGAAGAGCGACGCGACGACGGCGACATGGTGGCCGAAGTACCAAGCTGAAAATTGAGCAAAGAAATCTTAGAGCCGACATTTAGCGGGAGGTTCTTCTTCGAGCCTTACCTTGTACGCATTTGGTTTACACTTGCGATCCACGCTGGGCGGCCCAATCGGCTGCAGTTGGGCCGCGCCCAATTTGCTGGTTAAATGCTCGACGCCCACCGGCGGCTTGGCCGGGAACTCCTCCGGTGGCTTATCCTCCACGGCCGCTGGAGTGCCGGCCGCCTTTGGTTTCAGTTTGCGGTTCACTGGCGGACAGTCCATTTGCTCAATGAAGTCATACCGAAACACATTTCCCTCCATTTTGGTGGGCGCTGCATTCGTGTAGCAGTGTGGGCGTGGCAACGTACGCGCACTTGTGGGTGAGGAGGCTGCAATGGTAGCCGGAGTCTGGCAGGGATTGGCTCCCACTGCCACCGTCACTGCCACTGGCACCGCAACGGCACCCAGATCGGCTGCTGCCATCAAATTGGGCGTGGAGGCAGCAATGGGATTGCTGTTGTGCGGACTGGTGACCGGTCGCTCGCCCAGCAGCTGGCTGACATTGTAGTAGGGCAGCTGATGGGAGCGTGGAATGTCGTAGCTCTCCTCAATGAACCCGGAGTTTGCATTCCGACGGGCCACAATAGCTGGCGATGTGTTTTCCGTGTCCGAAAGCTGCGGCAGATCGCGAGTGATTCTGGAATTGAGTGAAATTTGGGTTGGGATTTCCCTTGGATGGTCATTCTTCTCTCGCGACTCACTTTTCATTCTCCTTAAAGTCTAGTATGAGATTATTCTTGTTCTTCAGCACCTTGGCCAGTTTCTCCAGTGTGCGATGGTCACCAGCATCTGCCAGCGATGATGGGGCCGTCAGTTTTGACTGCTTGTCGGGTGGCGGAGCTGCGGCTGCACCATCTTCGGGCATTTTGGAGAAGCGTTGCGAATAAGTCAGCACAAATGATTCGTTCTCTATGGAACTATCCGAGGGCCTGGTGCTGCGATCTATGAACATTCGTCGATATTAAGCAATTCAGTGTGAAGCTGAGATGATGACGACACTTACCCACATTCTCGCGGAGTGGCAGGGGATGAGCCCACTCATCGTCATCGGTGAAGACGCTCTCCGAGTCCGAGTCGGAACGTTGCTTGCTGGCAGAACTAGCCGCCAGCTGTTGCTACAAAGAGCAGAATGAATACAATGATGATTAGTCATAGTTGATCTGACCAGATCTATAATTATATCCACTTACCAGACTCAAGTTGGTTATCTTGGGGGAGTAGGACTGGTCATTGGTCAGGTTTAGGCCAATGTTGTTATGACTACGCGGTGTATCGTAGAACTTGGGATCCAAATTGTTCAACGGCGTTGTGGGATTGTTCGGTATGGCCCCATCTCGGCCCGGCCCGCCTGCACCAGAGTGCTGGTTGTCCAGCAGGAACTTGGGGCTGCCCGAGAAGCACTCGCTAATGGGTATATACGGACCAGAGGCGGTGCTCAATGCTGGCGATGCCTGCACGCTGCTATGCTGCTGCTGTTCGGCTGCTGCCTCGGCCAGGGTCTGTTGGGTGAGCACCAGATGGTCTGGCAGCTTCCGCACCACTCCATTCGCGTTGACCGCGAGACGGGCAGCCTGCTGTTGCTGTTGCTGCTGCTGCTCGGCAGCTGCAGCCGCTGCCTGAGCCTGGATCAGTGCACTGTGGTTCAAGTAGAGGGCCGTGGCCGGCGAGGGAGGCGGCTGCTGTTGTGCTGCCGAAAGTAAGTCTTGCTGATCGAAGTTTCCATCACAGAGCATTGTCTCGCGATTGCTGTACTCCGTGTTGACATAGACCGAGTCCGAGTTGTTGTTGCCGGGATTCTGCGGCAGTGGCTGCTGGTCAATGACCACCGGACGACGCATTTGGGCAGTTCCTCCCGTTGCCGTAGCCTGTGCGGCGGCAACAGTTCCCGCCGACGAATGCAACGATGTGGTGGTTGTATTTTGTGTAGAGTTGCTCAGGCCACCGCTGGAGCTCGTGTTCTGCGTGCGGTTCTCGTCTGTTGCGGCAGCCAAAAGGAACACAAAATTTTTAAGACTTCAATTATGTACCTGAATATAGTGCACTCACCTGCCCCCACAGAGCCCAGAGGCAGTTCATTCGACTGCTTGGTGTCATGCAGGTGACACACCTGGCAGATGCAGTTCACCCAATCGCGCATGTCCGACTCTGTTTCGGCAGCCAGGTAGTACGTGCGCTTCGGCGTCTTGATGTCGAACATGTACTGAAACTTCTGCTTGCGATTCTCCAGCCGCAGGCCACAGTCCACTTGCTCGCATTGATCCAAATCGATGACGCCCTTCAGCTTGCGGCAATTGTGATCGGTGTAGTATTCAAGGCAGAACTGTTCGGGTATCTCGCCCTGCTTCAGCGTGAACCAGCGTCGCCGCCAGCGCTACAAAAACACAAGAAATAGGAGAATAAAAATAAAACAAAGCGCTAAAGTTAGTAAACAAATGATGAATGGAATGGGTGGACGGACGACTACGCCTATCAGGGGTGCAGCCTTCTCTGGCGTCGACTGTCCACTACTCGTATCAAGGGTGAGTAAGCAGCGTCGCTGCTGCTTTTCCGCGAATCATATTTGCATTGACATTTTCTTGGGTAATCAGCCAGCGCACACACAAGATACCCACCCACCCCCCAGATGCACACTCGCCCACAGTGTGCCGTTAAAATGATTGCTAAACAGCTGTATGGTGGAGTGGGGGGTGGGGTTGGCTGTTGGGTTTGTGTCATCGCTAAACTCCAGCTCGGGCTTCAGATTTGTAGGTGTGTGTGTGTGTTATCTGAATCTGTGTGTGTTGGCTTGTGTTTATATTTGTAGTCTGTTCAATTTCCGAATTTCACGCTTAATTGAATTATAAACAATAAACATAATGCCACACACAAGCAGGCAGCGCCGAAAATTGGCACCCCAGAGAGATGGCTATACGCGAGCTAATACGAAAGGCATTAATATTTTCTTATAAGTACAGTGAAGCCATATGCATATTAAATAGAAGGTCAGGGCGATTCTCTGCCATATGGCCCAACCTTCTAAAAATTATTCCTTGGCCGCTGCTTTAGTGGGGCGCCAAGCGTGTTCCTGGAACTCTTGGTTCCGTTATAAGTGGTTTCAAATGTACCAACACGCACACATGCATGCATGGAACATACACGATACATAACGGGCAGCGGCAGGCAGCACCCTAGAAATGCCAGCAAACAGAAACAACAATAACAAGCTGGAAAGACAAGTGCGTCATTGTTTTTTGTGGCTCCGGCTCCCTCCCGTTGCTTTGATGCGGTGCGTGATGTGATGTGGCTTATCGTCAGTACATCCATATAAAATATACATACTCCATATATACACACATATGTACATACATATGTATGTCCATAGCCTTTGTGCATACTTTCTACTTGAATAAACTCAACAGAATATAATTTGATCAAACGCAACAGTTGCTGGTAATTTAATACACGAGCGAGCAAACGCCTCTGCGGCGCACATCGAGGCCCAAGCAAAGTAAACATTAAACGAAAGAATTAATTAAGCGTAAATTTAGACCAGCGCCAAAACATGTTCCCACGCCATAAGCAAACAAACAAACAAAACACACACTTGGATGTATGTATGCATGTACATACATACATACATACAGCCCATCGGAAGTCGGAGGCTATCGTAAATTTCATTCACATTTTGCAGTTACTGGAAACTTGCTCTCTCTGCGGTTTTAGCTTGTTTGCATTTCAATCAATTTCCGCTTCCCTTGGTCGCGGCGGCAGCGGCATCAGCCAGTCTGTCGCTTATTAATGAATTATATTATGACAAACAAATGCAGACACAAGCACAAACACACACACACACACACACACACACACGGATGGAGGCACACAGAGTAATTGTACAAAAATGCCACTGCGATTAGTTTGGTGCGTTTGCTTTTGTGACTCAGTATAGCAGGAGAGTTGGCAAAAACAATTTCCTCCAGTCGGAGATTGTGGGAACATATCTCTTTGCTGCAGTTTACCGTAAGCTTTGCGGTTTGCACTTTGATGCACATTTCACTGATCACTTGGTATTCGAGGAGTTGGGGGGAAAACTGCTCAAGTAGCTTAACTATCCTGAACGGAACGGAGTTGGCACAAGACGAGCCCACTCCAAAGGGAAACTTACTGCACGCCAAATTCGTTTTGTTGGTGGCGACTTAATTAGCCACCCTTCGTAGAAAGTGCGATCCATTTTCCAGCAGCGGACAGTGGAAAATAAATAAAATTAAATAAATTTTGTTTGTTACCCCTTCCGCGCACTTATTAGCGGTGTCAAACCATCGTGGGCACTATCGATAGTATCGATATTTTACTGCTAGCCTCTACTATCGACAGTTTTGCGACTATCATGATAGTATCGAGCTACAGTCGTTGCGCTTTTGATATGTTTGGATTGGCTGCTATAAAATACGAAGACACATTTGTAGACAAATCGAGAGGTGGCATCTAATTTTAACAATGGACAAGTTCCCAAAAGGTTTCAATGGTTTTTAATAATCATTTGAGCCCGATACTATTACGATAGTATCGATCGTTTTTTTCAAAACATTTAAAGTTGATATTCCTCGATTTTGATTTTCGGTTTAATATTACTAGCTAGCTGGGACTCTCAGCCCTAAAAAAATAATTTAATCCGTTAGATACATCAATTTTCTACAAGATCGTCAAGTTTTCAGAAGTCCATTTTAATGCATGTTTCACATATTAAGGTTCAAACAAAAACAACATAAAACGAATGTGACGTCGTTGCTGGCAGCGCCACCAGACTCGTGCAATTCGTAGTTTCTGCGGGCTGCCACACCATGATATTTTGAGACCCGTTTCATTACCGATTCGCTTTGAATCAATATCGGTACTTTTGTGCAATGAATTTGGCGGTTACATACCATTATTTAAAAAAACCAATATTGTAGCAACGATTTTATTGTTTGTTTAAAACATCATTTGCCGGTGTAAGTTTTACATCACATACATACACGTACATCACATGATTGATATCAGAATCTTATGATTTAAAATCCCGCCGTTTAAAATCAATTTTTCAATGAAAACAGGCGTTTGTTTTCGGCCCAGAACATAATTCTAAGTTTCTATAAAAAATCGTGTAATATTTTTTACAAATAAATTTTATTCCGTCGTGTCAAGTGTATGCTGACAACATACAGATTTTCCATATAGAATTGCATTATCTCAAACAGCGCAACACACCACAACAACACTGCCACGCCGATCTTAGACGGAACCTGCACCACGTCGGTCAACAGCTTATTTGTCCTTGCTGTCGCCCTTGCCACCACGAATCCTACCGGTACGACGGGCGGCAATGAGACCGACCTTACGACCAGCAGATGTGCCTCTCTTGACAGTCGAAGCCTTACCAATATGTTGATGGTTACCACCACCGTGGGGATGCTCCACGGGGTTCATGGCAACACCACGCACCTTAGGCCAGCTGTTGCGCTTCACCTTGTACTTGTGGTAGGCACGACCGGCCTTCAGGATGGGCTTGTCGATACGACCGCCGCCGGCGACGATGCCAACCATGGCGCGGTTGGCAGAGGGCACAACCTTCTTGGCGCCCGAGGGCAGCTTGACACGGGTCTTCTTGGTGTCGGGGTTGTGGGCAATCACGGTGGCGTAGTTGCCAGAGGTGCGGGCCAGACGGCCACGATCACCAGTTTTCTCCTCCAAGTTGCAGATGATGGTACCCTCGGGCATCTGGCTCAGGGGCATCACATTGCCGATCTGCAGGGTAGCCTTGCGACCGCAGTACACGAACTGGCCGGTGTGCATGCCCTCGGGGGCGATGAACAGCTCCTTGCGGATCTTGTAGCGGTAGGGGTCACGGAAGTGAACGACAGCCAAGGGGGCGCCACGACCGGGATCGTGCACGATGTCCTAGCAGCACAAAGCAAACATTTGTATTAGTATTAATCAATTACCAGTGCCTGACATCCGAAGCACTCACCTTGACAACACCGCGGATGTAGCCGGAGCGCTCGGCAAAGTCCAGAGAGCGGAGCTTGGCGGCTCCCTTGCGCTTCTTGACGTGCGCCTTGAAGACGGAACCAGCTCCCTTACGTTGTGCACGAATAACGCGACCCATTGCTGCAATTGACAAGACAATTAATTTACAGTCATCACAACACTACACTCGGTGCCGCCATGGACACCAAAACATCCGTCGCAATTTAACGCTCGCCCATCGCAACATTCTATGAAATATTGTATGCATAGGCCGGCGAAAGGCTTCCCGTTGCACTTTTGTTTATTATCATGGCAGGATGTTGCGATATTTGAGAAAAATTTAACGATTAACATTTCAGCAGTACGCTACGTACCGAATCTCGGGTAGAAAAGAAAAGAAAGAGAGGAAGACAAACGCAAATTGTCAAAGTGACAGCTAGCGCAGCCAACCTCACTCTGTTTTCCGCGCCTTAACAGCACGCTGTTAAAGGCACGGGCGGTGCTGTTAGTGCGCTGGCAATCTCTAGTTTGGCGCGCACAAAGTATTTAAATGGAGCCCACATTTTGCTTTTTTTTTTAGGTTTTTTAGTTTGAACAGATAGAAGTTTCGTACAGTTTTAAGGTGCGTAGGCATAGAATACGCCACCACGATTGATTGGAAGAAACCAATCACACATCTGGCAATGTCTTAGGATAATGTTAATTAATTTGGTTTGCAGCAACATTGTACACAATTTAATAATAATAGCCACATGGTATACAGTTTGTTTATACCTTATTTTGTTTAAATAGAGGGGCTAAGTTCGTTTTTCTTTGGTATATTTACGGCATATTTTGAAAATGACGTTTCTGAGGTTCCAGTCACACTCTACAAGACAAATCAAGTGAAATATTTATTTTTCCATATATTAATATACTTTTGAAAATGACCGCCAAACTCATTTAGCGCACAAAAAATACTGACATTTTTCGCTTTCAATTCGTGGTGGTTTTTCAAAATGGAATGGAATGAAGATTCATTGTTGCGTCATTCCATACGCAAGACATTTGATTTGTATGGGAAAAAATTCAGCAACATCTGGAAATGAATAGGCAGCATTGTTCTGCAACTTTGGAACGAAATGAGCAACAATCTGCATACCTTGGGAAAATGGATATTATAGAATAGAGATATTGTTGGTAATTTCATGCTCCAATTAATACAGAAACTACTCAGTCTCTGTTTTAAAGTATTAACGAAATTTTGCATCTCACGGGTACAAATAATAGGCATCAGAACCGGGATAAATGTATTTATAAAACACAAAACATATGCTTTAATGGGTAAAAAACATCTCAATCTAAGAAAACTGCACTATTAATGTTTCAATGGAGCTTGGAACAAAACATTTAACACCAATTAAAAGAAATAAGGTATACAAAAGTACATACGCATAGAAGATACTTGGTTGACCAGCAACACTGACGTAACATTTAGTCAACACTTACGTTTTAAGCTTTGGCCGTTTTTGTTTGAACCTTAATATGTAAACAATCCAATGAAAAAGAGTTCTAAAAACTAACCAATCCTGAACAAAATTTATGTATCTATCGGATAAAATTATTTGTTTAGGGCTGAAAGGGCCAACTAGCTAGTAATATTAAACGGAATATCAAAATTAAGGAGTATCAACGTTGAATGTATTGAAAAAAACAATCGATACTATCGTAATAGTATCGGGATGAAATAATTATTAAAAAACCATTAAAACCTTTTAGGAACTTGTCCATTGTAAAAATTAGATGCCACCTGTCGATTTTTTTACAAATGTGTTGGCAATCCAGACAATCCAAACATATCAAAAGCGCAACGACTGTAGCTCGATACTATCATGATAGTCGCAAAACCGTCGATAGTAGAGACTAGCAGTAAAATATCGATACTATCGATAGTGCCCTCGATGGTTTGACACCTCTAGCAATATGCAAAATACGGCTGAACTTCGCCGTGCGCGCGTCGTCGAATAAAACAAATCAAATTGAAAACTACAATACAGCTCGCTAGTGTACAATAAAAATCAATCCAATACTCAGTCCTGCTCATATCGATATCGCTTGAAATAGAAACCGCAGATGATGAAAACTTTGTAAAGAGAAGGAGAGACACACACGGACAGTGAAAGATAGTTTAATATAAAGATACATTCGGATTGGAAACAGAGTGCGGAGGTGTTGTCGCTGCGTCGGGTCGCGTAAAGAATTCGTTTTTCCCCGATTGCACAAAAACCGGAACATAAGTCTATTAAGCATTTGTGCAATGCACAGGCGTGAATAAAAACCAGCCAAACGCTGTGCGTGGAAAAGTATGTAAAAAAGAGTACCCCAAAAAAGAGAATAAAAAACAACCGAAAACGGGCATCCTATTCGAGCGAGTGGCAGATTTTTTCTGTCTACCTACACAAACACACACATGCACGTATAGGCCAGCGGCAGAGTGTGTGTGAGTGAGTGTGTCTGTATAGGTGTAGGCTGGTCCATCGGGAGGTCTGCCGCAGAAATAAAGCGGAAAAATTGTGAAAAAGTGTGTTGAAAGAGTGGAAAAGGAAATGTTTAACTAAGCTGAAATTTTATGCTGGAAATTGTGCCGGAAAAATCACGGCAAAGTGCGTGCCGCGCCCCGTTTGCCAAACGCCAACACACAGAGGCACGCTCACACATTAACACACACACACACATGTAGAGGGAGAACCACATACACTCACACTCAAAAACACCAATACAGAGCGTAGAAGAAGCAGTGGGCAAAAGCAAAAAGAGAAAAGTTGTAGCAAAGGCAGAGCAACAAATAGTTTTGTTAATTGCAGTATTAAATATTGTTGGGCTGGTATTTTTGCTTAAGAAAATACTAAAGAAATAACTGCAGTTCTCTCCCGGTTGGCCTTAGTGCCTTTGTTTGTGTGTGTGTGACTGTGTGTGCGTTGGTGTTTTATTTTTTACACTCTCCTTCCTCTTCCCTCCTTCCGCGTGAAGTAGCAGCAGCAAATCTCCGTGGCAGCAGCAGCAGCAGAAGAAGGGAGTAGAAGAGAACAACACAACAAAATAGCAAATCAAAATGGCGCACCAACAGCAGCAGCAACAACAACTGGCTCCATCCGTGAATTGTTCATTGGATGATATCGATTTGACGGCACTGAAGGTAAGAGAATAATTTATCCCCACACCGATCAAATCTGATCTCATACGGCCAGACCCCTCCCCTTTTCGGTAGCTATTTCTGGACCGGGGTTCCAGTGTGTTTAGTGTGCTCATTATCACCCCGTGGGACCCCCCGCCCCCTGTACTTAATTGCACCTCTCGACATTCGCTGCTCCCACTATTTGGGCTCCTCTTTATTCTCCCATTCGCACTGGTTCTATTATCGCTCTGTTCCCATTCGCATTCCTCCCTTCCCTTCCCTTTTGGCTAGGTGTGGCCATGTGTTTTTGTAACGGTAAACCCACTTCCGCCTGGAATTTTGCAGCTGATTATTGCCTTAAAGTTGAATCCAAGGTACATTTGACAAAAGGTTTGGTATTCCCGCTACAACAACACCCTGTGTTAGCATTACACAGCTTTTGTGGCAGTTAGTTATACAACGTCAGAAATTGCATTCAGCGCTCCATTATTGGAGTCATTTTCAGTCAAGGTCCCTCCCCCTTTATGTAAATTCTTGCTTGAAAATTACAACAAAAGAATATTTTTGCTTTGTGTTTCACGTTTCATGCTTTTTGCTATAGCAACAGGGGGGGAAGGTTCCACCCTCTCACGCTCACTCTTTCCCCCCGTTTGAGCGGGAGCCATTCACAATAATAATCGAGTTGATAAATGCATTTATTGGCATTACATTTTCGATTGCTCGATTATGAGAAAATCCCACCCACCAGCCACCACTCGCCACATTCATATTCATCCACCACCCACCAACCCACCACCAAATTATCAAAGGCCGGCCGGTGTCATCTTCTTTTGCTTTTGCCTAGCTATTCTTTTCTTTTCTTTTTTGTATTTTTCGTTTCTTTTTGCCATTCGCTTCGTTTCTCAATGAATTGGTTTGCTTCCCCACCCACCCCCACCACACGCACAGAGGTGGCCGCCACCACAATATGCCGCATGCGTTTTTGTTGCCGCCTTTCTCTTTCACCAAAAACACTCCACCACTCACCATCTCCTACCACGCCTAAGCTCTGCTGGAGAAACTCACCATGCTGGTTTGGGGTGGGCCCCACATTGGGCGCCTGCTCTTTTGCGCACCCACAGTACATGTGTGTGTGTGTGTGAGTGTCCGTTTGTTGACTCTGTCTTGTGTGCAAGGCAGAGTGAGAGAGGAGAGTATGGGTGGAGTAGGGTGGTGGTGCCTTGGGTCGTCGCCTCTGCTCTGGCATGTGCCTCTGTCTGCGTGTGAGAATCTCTTTCTCTGTGCGAGTCGAGTGTGTTTATGAAAAATTGTTCATAGTCGAAGCAGAAGCAAGAGATGAAGAAGGAGACGGAAAACGCGACAAGAATGAAAATTGTTTAGTTTACTTTATTAAAAGGCAGGCAGAGGAGGCAGACATGTCCATGCGTGTCTACTGCTGCCGCTGAGTCTCCCTCTGTGTGTGAGTGAGTGTGTTGCACCAGACGGCATGAAGATGATGATGATGGAGCACGAAGGCACAAACCAAAGCAAAATCAGCAAAAAATGGCAGCAGAATATGACGACTCTTGCCTGTGAGCGTGTGTGTGTTTGAAGTGTTGCTGCTGCTGCGGCTGCTTGTTGGCCTTCTCTTACTTTGGCAGAGGCGCGTGGGCGCCTCTGTCGCGTCTCTCGTCTCGTTTCGTCTCTGACCTGTCTGTGCGTGGCTTTTAAAGGTCATTCCAACAATGGTTGATGGAGGGGTGGAGAAGAGAGAATGTCCCGAAATAGAAACGGTAAAAAGGTCAGAGTCCTTAAAGCTTGAACAGTGCGATGGTGGAAAGTGAGCGAGAGAGATAGAGATAGAGGGGTGGTGGGGAGCAGGCCTTTTCAGGTTTCTTTCAGTTCGAAACTCCGATAAGCTTCTTCGATAAGATATATGTACACACGCTTGGAGGGGAAGGGAAAACTGCATTCGTTGGAACACAAATTTCAAATTTCCTTAATTGGTTTTTTATGATTTATTTTATTTGTGTGTGTGTGTGTGTGTGTGTGTTTCTCCCTCTCTGATCTGTTCTCTTTTACTGCAGTTTCTTTTATGTTCTGCATTTGCCTGATAACTCGAGTTCTGTTCTCCAACTCTCTTCCTCTCGCCTTTTGTTTCTTTTGTTCGGTTTTATTTTAATCAACATTTATTGCATTTTCGGCTTGGGCTGCGATAAAAACGTGTTCGCCCACATTTTAGTTTGCATTTGTGTGCATATGTACGTGTGTGTGTGCTCAGCAATTTGCTGGAGGACTGAGGGAAACCGATCCACAATCCATATCGTTCCACACATGTGTTGTGTGCTGCATTTTTGTGGGTTAAATCAACATCGCAGCCCAGGAAAAACACTTTATTAAAGGAAACTGTCCATTGTTAAATAACGGAATTTCCCCCAGAAAAAAGGAAAATTTCAGCAACAATAATCAGTTTTGCTTTGAGGGAAATTTACTCCATCCATATGTCGGAATGATCAAAAGGGAAATAATCAGTTTTCCGTAAATTTCTCTCTCAGCTAATAGCGCGGCCCATAAAAAAGTTCCATCCTTTACCTACATATGTACATATGTATCTCTCGCCTCTCTTCTGTGCAAATCAGAAACAAATTCACAAAATGCCTCACTAATATGAATACACTTTGATCTCCACACCCGTGCCCTCTCTTTCACGGTCTCTTTTTGAGCCGTAGCAGGTACTGCCTCTGCATCTGCATACCTACCTACTCCACTGTACTCCACTCTCCATTCCTAATATGCATTCAGTCCTGTTTTTGGCCAATCTCCTGCCTCTTCTTCAGCCCCTCCTCTGTGCCGCTTACTGGGCCAAGCCTTTGCCAAAGAGGTGGAGTGGTGAGTGAGGAGGGAGGAGGGTATTGCGCTTTTAGACAAACAAAACGAAACGAAAGAATTCCAGTTTTCCAGGCCAGGCAAAACTGTAATAATAAAAGCAGCTACTAGAAAAAAAGAGACAAAACTTCCAGCTACAGTGGATACCGGCTAGGGTGAATGAGAACATGAATTGGAAGTGGAGTTCCGCTGGAGAAGGAGGCTCCACTGTTGCCCCAGCCAGCCAGCGTCTGCGTTGGTCCGCCGCGTCTCTCGCTCTTTCGGTCCCTCCCGACGGATCGGGTTGTTTAGTTTTAGTTGTACCCGTTTGGACAAATACAAATACGAAAGACAAACAAAAGGCAAATGGGAAGAGGGAAGATAGAGAAGCAGTGATTGGGAGGGCGGGGGACGCATGTGGCAGCAGCTGGACAGCAGAACTAGCAGCAGCAGCAGCAGCAGCAGGAAAGAGTGAGCGAGCAAGCAAACAGCCTGTTTGCCTGCTGATAACTGTAACCAAACGAGCAGGCAGTGCTCGCTGACCAACAGAACAGTCAACAGACAGACAGACAGAAAGAGAGAGATTGGGCGAGAGAACTTTAGTTCTAACGGATCATTCTCTCTCGCTCGTTCTGCCTTAACATGTCACAATGCTAATGAGTCATGGAGTTGCAGACACTCCACACTCTCCGGCTCCCCTCTAGGCCCTCTCTACATCCCCCACTTCTCTCCTCAGTTAATTTTTCGTGCATTTTTAATTGATTTTTTTACAACGGTGAAGTAATCAGCCATAAATAGCAGTAATTGCCGCTGCTGCACTTCCCAGCATACATACACATATCGCTCTCCCACACACTCACAATTTGTGTTCACTCTCCCGTTTTCCCTTTCCCTCATATTGCGCACTGTGTGTGCTCTTTGCATGTGTTTGACACAGTTTTGTGGGTGTAGGAGGCGGGGGTGGGGGGGTTCGCTAGGCAGCCATAAATCTACTTAGAGCGGCTTTCCATAGTTCTTCTGCCTTTCCCTACTCCTCCCTACCCTTCACCCCCAACCCCTCTGCCGTCATTCCCCACTATTTGTTTATTTGCTCTGCACTTTTTTCGTTGTTTTGCTTTCTTTTAGTTTTATTTTTTTCGGCTCTTGAGGCTCTTTGTCTTTTGCTCACCGTCTGTCGCTCTTTCTCGCTTTAATTCCTTTTGGGTCTCTCTGCCGTAAGCTTGAGGAGCTCTCTCCTCTGGCCCGCCCCTTAACTTTGAGGGGTTTGGAGATTTATGTGAAAAAAGCTTTGTGGAAGAAGTTGTTGACAGGAGTGTTCCCTCCTCTTCCTCTCCGTCACAGTGCAGTTGAGGGCGAGAATTTGTCTGGGATTAAGGTCTAATAAAAAGTTGACAATTTGTTAGACTTCCATAAATCAATCGAAAATAAGAAACTTTGCTGTTGCCATGATTGGATTTCTTTGTCGTATCACTCCTCACCAGCCCCTAAATTAACGTCACCCCAAAGGTTATTGCTTCTCCTTCCTAAATTGTAACTCAAAATTATCTCATTTCGAAATTCACTTGGTTTCCGTTTAGATTTGTATAAATTATCTTCTTGTCAAATTTTATTCCCTTTCTTCCCTACCTTTTCCATTCTCCAAGTCCCGTCAATCTATCATTGGGATATCTGGATGGATGTGGAATTCCTTGGGACTTATCCCCACTAGAATCCCAACTTTTAGGTCTTCCATCGGTCGCGTTTCTTTTGGAATTTGGAGCAGTAACTGCACTTTTACTCTCTCCCTAAACCTCCTACTATTTCCTTTTCTGCTTCTCCATCAGCATTTAAATTATACTTCTTCATTCCCTCGAGGTTTTTCCCCTACCTTTCGCCTTTGGGGCTGTCAAAAAAAAGTCAGTTACCTGTTGAAATGCCGTTCGTGTTTTTGTTGTTGTTATTTTAATTGGCATTTGCCTTTACCTGTCGTTCTGTCGTTCTGTCGTTCTTGTCGGCTTTTGTAATCCCTTCCGCGCCATTGCCTCGCACTTTTTCCACGTCTCTCTTCTTCTCACTCTCTCCACCTGCGCTTCAATAAAAATAGAAAGCATTGTACTCCATGTTCCCCCCATCTTCAACTTCTTCTGGTATCCCTCCCTCTCCTGCTCCGCATATCTCGTGTCACGTCTATCGTATTGTACTTCTATCCCACTCTGCCTGTTTTCACCTTCGTATCGTGTCGCACTCTTCTTCTCGTGATTTTCGTGTCAATGAACCCCCGCCTGCAATTTGTATGGCTTGAAAAGGGTAGGAGTAGGGTGTGTGGGGTGGGGAGAGGTGCATGAATCCCAATTGGAATTTGGGGATTTCGTATTTTTAACATCATTCCGGTGCTGTATTTTTTCCTTATTTGTGCGAGTATTTATAATGCCTTAATAATTTGTTTACATACACAAAAACAAAAACAATACAAAATGTTGTCTGTTTTTTGGGATTTAAGATGTTTCGGGAGAGATATCTCTGCTATAGACAGGGAGTTGCTTCGCTCTTTTGTTTCGAACAGCAATGATAGAAAAAGGACGTTTTATTTTTGGGCGTTTCCCCTGGGCGTGTCTCAAAGTGTTTTTGCATTGATTTTTCTCTACTTCTCACACATGATTTATTCCCTCTTACTCATGTTTTCCCCCTTCTCTGTTTCCTTTCAGGATCCTGCTGGCATCTTTGAGCTGATCGAAGTTGTTGGCAATGGCACCTACGGCCAGGTCTATAAGGTAAGAAATGCATATATTTATTATATATTTTTATTAGCAATAAATATGGGCAAGTTTTAAGTGCTTTGGATTCCATGTTTCTTGAGACTTCAGCTTTCTTTTTGTATGGAAATTTTCACTTAAACTCAGAGAGAGAGAGAGAGCAACGATCTCTCAGAGTGTAGTCTCTTGTTGGGAGAGTCACTTCTGTGGTCTCTTTATAATTAGCAATCATTAGGGTTTCTGCTTCACTGCCTTTTTGCACACACACACACACACACACACAGAGTTGCGCAGTTGTAAATGTATCTGTATCTGTAGCAGCATCATCTCTTGGCCTCTGGGTTCTTGCTGGCGCTGCTTTAATTAGTTGTTTGGTCCGCTATTCCCCGTCTAATAACTTGTCTCAAAGAAAAAAGAACTGACAAAAAAAGCGACTACAAACCCAAACAAAAATTCAACGAAAATAACAAGAACAAGAACAGAACAGAACATATTCTCACACATTAACACATTTCTCTCTGGGTGCAAAACATGAAAGGAATGTGGGCTTTGAGTAACGAAGATTGTGATACCCTCCTAGGCAATGGTTTTTTCATGTATTTTTGCTTGATTTATGGACAACAAAAGCCCATAGAAATTTCAGCTTTTGGCTCGATTTATTTATGAAATTAATTTTCAAAGGTTTTATAGCTTAGAGATGCTTCAATGCGTTGCTAATAATCCGGATACCCTCTATCTACGGAGATACCCTAAAAGAGAAAGAAATACAACAAACGACAGGGAAACAAGAGACAAGAATCATCATCATAATCACAAAAGCAGCAGAACCAGCAGCAGCAGCAGCAGAGGAGGAGGAGATTTCTCTCTCTCTCTGTCTCTTGCTTAAAAACAATGCCTTGACTTTGTGTTTGTATTTAAATTATATGTTTAAAATGTATCTGAAAGATACAACTATGAAGGAGAAGGCAGGGGCCGCAGCAGCAGCAGCAGCAGCAGCAGCAGCAGCAGCAGCAGCAGAGGCAGCTGCAGAGGCAGCAGTACGTCAGTTGCAGGCATAAAAATAGACATTTGCTTTTGTAAAATTACCGTTAGCATTTGTTGCAAGCAGAAGAAAAAGTGTGGCATGCTGCCGCCGCCACAGCCGCCTGCGCTCGGGAGGCCAACGGCAAGTTGTTGCTGCTGTTACAGGAGTGGGGCTCCACTGTAGTGGGGGGTCGCCGAAGCCAATGGCAGGCAGCTTTTTGTGTGATTAATGTCGCTGCTGCTGGCCGTCTGTCTGTCTGTCCGAAATTCTTTATTGCCTCTCGTGGAGAGATATACAAAAGTAGCTTTTGATTAAATTGAGCTTAAACTGAGGCTTGTACTAAGTGTTAATCATCGCATTCGTTGAGTTACTTTGAGATATTTGTGGGGTGAGTAATTCAGGCAGCAATTGGAGACAATTCCAAAGGAGTTTTCCAGTTTTTACTTTGTTTTTTTGTGGGAAGGAATGTTTCATGGTTGTTTTATTTCAACTACTCCTTAGGGATGATTTCTGATTTTATCTGAGATGTTGTGGCATATAAGACCCTAAGAGATTTTGCGATTAAGTACTGCATCCAACAAATTTACAATTTCTAAAAGAAAAGAGATAATTTATTTCTTCTTACTCAGCTCTTAATGGCTTTTCTTGTAGAACAACTTATATTAAACCCTTTACTAGCACTTAATCATCGTTAGGTCTTGTGTTAATTGCGAAATGAATTGAAATATTCAATGAGTAATCGCAATCCGGAAATATATATCCACTTTGCATACAGCAAAACCTGTTCTTGGGAGAAAGAGTTGGCAGATTATTCTTTGGACTTTTACCTCATAATTCACCTTTCATATTCTTTGGAAATGGCACCCCTATATATGGATTACTGTGTGAAATACTTGGCTGTCAATCCGATTGAAACTTTCATAAAATCTATTAAATTTCATAGTTGTTTTTTTCTGCTGCTGCTGCCTGCCTGCCTATCAATTGGCTTTTGCAACCCACACCACACACAGGCCTACAGGTTCCAGGCACCAGGCACTAGGCACCAGTCTATGCCTCGATCTAGGGCTCTGCTCTGTTTGTGTTTGCTGCAAGTGGCACGTGGTAACCATGGAAGGAGTCCATGGGAATCCAAGGCAGGCAAACAGCCCACTGTGCGGTTGAAAACTTGTTAACGCAAATAAAAAGACACACAGTTGTGTTCTGGAGGGGCCTTAAAGTAGTTCATTATACTGTTGTCGCTGTATCTTTGTATCTCTGTCTGTCTGTGTGTGTGTGTGTGTGTGTGTGTGTGAAATTAGCATGAGTAATGCCCAGCAGCAGCAGAAGCAGATACTTTCTGTATATGTATCTGCATGTGTGACTCTGTCTCTGAAGAGTAGAACCGGGAACGGGAGACCCAAGCCACTTGCTTGAGTCTCATTTTATTGGCATTTTCTGTCTGCTGTGTCTGCGGCTGTGGTTTTGGCCAACATATTGACTGACTGAATGGTTAACCGGTTTACAGATACAGAAAAAGATACAGCAACAGTTGCGGCCCATCAAACGTCACAGTTTTTCTTTTTATTTTTTCTGGCTTAATCATTATTTTATTTTGAATTTTATTTTGGTTTCATTTTTGGAATTCCACTTAAATGGAATTTTTTTCCTTTTTTTTGGGCGAATTTTTTTCGCTTTATTTAGCTAATTTATGTTTTGTCTATCTCTTCCCTCTTTGCTCCTCTTTGTCTCTACTGCACCCTCTCCGTCTCTCACTTCCGTTGTATTGATAACTCTGCTTATTTTTGTTCGCTCTGCTGCGCTTTTTACGAGCAAATTGCCTTTTTATCAGAGCCCCAGCGACAGTTTCGTATCCGTCGCTCTCTCTCTCTCTCTCATGAGTCACTGCCTAAACGAGTTTGTGATCCAGGGGGGGGAACCTTTGCGAGGGGCTACCACATGTGGTTCCCTGTGGAACACGTACAAGTGCAACGTTTTAACGGCTGTGATTTTGTGGGTGTGTAAACAGTAAGAGAAAGAGAGAGGGAGTGTGCGCTGGAAATGCGACTTTACTCGTGGAAAATTGTGTAAAGAAGCTCGCACTTCAAGAAATAAGCTTTCAAATTAGCTATAAAATTCTATCTAATCTGCTTAATTTTAATCCAATTTAAAGTTCTTAAAGGAACAAAAATAGAATTTCTGAAATTCGAAGCTCATAATTTATAAATAAATAAATCGGCGCTCAAAGAAAAAACATTAAAAATATTTAATACAAATTATTTAATAATAAATATTTAACAAATGCCCTAAAAGATCTTCTTAATAAGAAAAATGCTTCTATGAGAGATAGGGAAAATCTCTCTATTTGTATCATTCCATCTTTAGTTGGAAATCTTCCGCCAAGTGACCATGTGGTTTCAGTTTTCACTTAATTTGTGTCTGTTATTCAAGCATAATGAACACTCAAACAATGAATGACTGACTCATTCAAAGAAATCCCCAAATAAACCATTTTAGGCATTTTTCTATGAATCAATGGCCAAAAATCAACATTTGAACGAATTACCAAACCCCAATCACAATTCCATGATCCCGCCACACGCATAAACGTGTTATGAATGTTCCGCAATGTTTATAAATAATTTTTTGGGGCTTGGCCTACCGTTAACTTTCGCCCACGACATTTCCATCCATAGAACGGATCCACAGAACGGCAGCAGTTGTCATGCAATTAACATTTTCATAGCTGGGCGAACTTTGACCCAATTGTGGAAAAGCAACGAAGAGATAGAGAGAGAGAGACATGGGAAAGAGGAGGAGTGGGAGTTGGAGACAGAGAGACAGAGAGGAACAAGTGCGGACAGAGACAATGCATATTTATGAGCGGAGGAGACATGATAATAAAGCACGCAAGCAAATAAATACAAAGAGAAAATAGAGGAAAATCAAGGCTTCAGTGGATCGAGGATCTACATACCCTACCAGCATGATCGTTTTTCATATCTGATTATAGGAATTATAGGAATACTGAGAAAGAATAAAAGGAAACTGGAAATATGTTAATCAACAATGCAAATTTGCATGGCTACAAGATCTCTTCTTTTGTGGGTTGCAAAAGATCTAAATCAACACTAGAATACCCCTCCGAAATGAAGGGTATATAAACAGAAACAATAATTGCTTCAGCTTTGTATTTGTGTGTGCGCAGGCGCAGCCATCCATAGACAGAAAGAGACAGCTACATTGATACATGGGAAGGGGCACTGGCACTGGCACTGCTGCAACACGACAAGCTGCTCAAAAAACATGCAAAATACATTAAAGCCAATAAGCAAATGAAGCAGGAAACACAAACCAAATGGCAAGGCACAGACAGACACTGAAGCAGCAGCAGCAACAACAACAGCAGATAGCAGATGAGGAACGAAATAACTATAGACTTCAGACCCATAAAAAAGGCCACACAATTAGCCAAACGGGCACACAAGTACCCAAAGTAGGGGCTGGCGCATAAAACGCATAAACTGCTTCCCCAATGTCACCACTAAACCACAGATAACCGGGACAAACTAAGTGCCGAAATAAAGCGAAATAGTCGAAGGTGGAGATACCCTGTCGACAGATATTCGACAAAAACTCACATGCCCAGAACTTTGGTTGCGTTTATCTGTTAAACCCAAAAATTGGTTGCTAACAGAATGTCTTATCTTGCGATTATATGTATTTGTATGATTTGGGTACAATCTACGATTATAATCTAATCAACCATTTGTGGAGTTTTTGGGGACTATTTTTGAGAACCAAAACGTTTATTGCTTAAAACATTTTTAGCACGATTTATCGAACTTTTATCGAACTACTATATGCAGAGCCAGAAAGGTCTTAAAAGTTTCTTATTATACCCTCTAGTAATAACATACTTTATAGGGTATACAAAAAAAAACTAATTATTACGCAAATTTAATTTGTTGTAGACTTAAATTTAAAAACATTAACAGTCGCGCGAGTCATTGACACG